AAGAACGTCTTCGTTATCTTCTTGGGTGGTATGGCCCGCGTGTTGTCCAGCAATATAATTATATGATATTTGCATTTTTGGTGTGTATACATATATCCTATGTTATTTCGCCACTTCTCCCACCGCGTTGACGACACCTGAGGATTCCGAAGGGTCAAGACTCTCCCTTTGGCGATTTCCCGGAGGACTATGACAGGCGCTTGGGGATACCAGGTTTGACTTCCCAGGGACATGACGCTCTCAGATGTCTATTTCAATTAGGTCGTGTTCACTTTCCACAGTTGAACTGACAGTAGGGCCTTCGACGATAACACGGAAGCCAAAAGATGCCAAAAAAAACAAACACAAGTCCATCACAAGATGAAAGAAGAGTGTCAGGTTTTTGCCGAAGTTGCTTTGACGGCCGAAGAATTCGAACGACACGTAAAGGACCAGGTGATTTTGGAGGAAACTTGTTGAGCACCCAGTGGTGAAATAGTCCCTGTTCCACAAGTAGATCTTGTCAACAACAACCAAAAGTACCAGACGGAGAGAAGAGTGTTTGCTTTCAGGCTTCAGGCTACTTTGCGAGATTGTTTTGGAAGGCCTTGCAGGTTTGCTGCTCCTCAAAAGGGCAATATGTCTGCCAAAACCCACCCAGTAGAATGTGCCTCCAGGCCCACGCCTTTGGCCCCGCTCTCAGCGCGGGGGCGCCTTACGCAGACGGCGCCCGTGCCAGCCGGGGCCACCCAGACGTGTTGAAGCAAATGAAAGGTACAAGGAACAGATGTGCCCCTCGATTTGATGCTGGGAAGATTTGATGATGAATCCTTGCCTCTCAGCTGATGGGTTTGGGATTTTGTTCAATTCATTCGCTTGGCATTTGCGGCACCGTTCAACGCCCGATCGCCGCCCACAGGACCTCTCTTCCTCAATGGCGGCGGCGGAAGCACGGGGCAGGCCATCCACGGGGTTGGACATGAGGAAGAGCACCAGCAGTCCTTCTGAAACCAACTCACGCTTCACAAGACTCGAAAAGGAGAACCTGGAAGCATCAGAAGATTGGCTCAAGCAGTGTTTCACATTGTTTCCCTCACAGTCCTGTTTTTCAATTCGCCAAGGTCAGAGAGGTTCACCACCACTTCTACGTTTGATGTTGTTACAGCCCTTTGTCGTTCCCACACACGATGCTGATTCTGTACTGGTCAGAGTCTCCCATAGTCTCCCTCCACTGTCTACACTAACTATAACCAGGATGTCCAACCAACCAACCAGCCAGCTAGCCAGCGATTCAAATGATGCCCCAGCAACGTTCAGGTCTGCGCGCACCATGGCCGTGGCACCTAAGTCAGCACGAGGCAGGCGGCTTCGAGTCGGATTCACTGCGATTCACTCACACGGACCATGGACGGAGTAGGCGATCTTCCGGGCCCTACTAACAGAGGGTTTTTGTGTGATTTTGAAGGACATGTACCTGCTGAAATGGCTGTGGGGTCAAACGAGGAGGCCTTGGTTTGACCTACCTGGATGGTCAAGCTACATGCTGCAGTTGCACCAATGCTCCAGGTTTTGATCCATCCCAAATGGATAACATGACAGCATATGACACTTAGATCAGAAATGTTTGGAGTCATGAGTGATGCCTCATCCCTTTGCAAACTGACAGCTTCCAAGATCTCCCAAGTTCATGATGGGTTTGGTCAAAATTCCACTACCCGGTACCCTCGGACAAACAAACACTGAAGCTGGCAGGGCCAATCTCCCTTTGCCCCCCTCCTGTTCACAATGTAATGTTCAGTTTCTATATGTTTCCACCTTTTCTTGTTTTGGTCGCTCGTATGCTTTTTTCATTCGCCGCTTGCGTTGCCGTTGATGTTTCTTCGTACTATGTAGCTGGAACCAGGGTCACAGAGCACATATGCATAGAGCCGCTGTGTACTGCATTTGCACCTGGTGGGACATGGGCTCATCCAGCCCTCCAACGGGGGTCCTCACCTGACCGAGCACCAGGCCATGGGCCCTATGGCCCCCATGGGCCCAACAAGATGGCCGTCACACTTGCAGCCCTCAGAGATGAGGTCTGGGCGGGACGAACGTAGCCTACTGACTACTTTAAACAAATAGAATCAAATCAAAGCATTTGCGGACAATTACGGATCTTTGTGGACAATTGAGATGGTTGTTTGGTTGTAGCTGTTCACAAGTGTTGCATCTCCAGGTGCAGAAGCAGGCGGACACCTTGAGCCCCCGCAGCACCAGTCCGCGCTCTCCAGTGGCCAGAGCTGCCAGGGGCTTCAGATTCCTTGGGACTTGCTGTTCAGAGAATTTGTTTGGAAGAAAAAGGCATTCTTCCTTGTACCTTTGGCTTCTTTAAGGGGACAGTGAAGCACAGGAAGAACCACATTGCTTGATTCACCAAGGATCCATGTCCACAAACACATTTCCTCTCAACATCGGTCTTGTGCTCTGAATGTTGCTTTTGCGTGCTTTGGATTTGCAATGATTTGCATATTTACATAAAAGTATAGTTATATATATAATATATATGGTTTGTTTATCACACTCCAAGTCATCAGCACGACTTCATGTGTTTATTGACTCATGCTTGGACTGGTTCACAGCCGAGGTGCCCAGCCCCAAGCCACAGGCTGCGATTCCGGAGCTGGGAGATGCCATGGATCGGGCATCGTTCCCGACTGGATGACGCGAACGGCGCCTAGGTCAATGAAAGGACGAGGATTCAGGAGACCGACCAATGTAACGATCGCTTGAGTCCATTTTTCGACCAAATCATCGGGGTGTATAGCGGGTGTGGTTTTTTGGTGTACCCTTGGTCCAGGAAGTGTGGGGTATATAGTATCCAAGATGAAAGAAAAGAGGCAGGGTGTACCAATCCAAGGATGGTCATTTTGAAGAGGGGCAGGGTCACTCTTGGGTGTACTCCTATGTGTACCAGGTCTTGGTGTCCTCTTGACCTTTTCTTTTCCCACCTTTGCCAGGTGGTACCTTCACCGCCCAAGGCTGGAGCCTTCAGGCTTCGTGACCGGTTGGGGACAGGATTCGGAGGTCATTTTGAACACAAAAGCTGCGAAAGACTTAGAGACATCCTGAGACGCAGAGCGAACAAGAGTAATGACGAGCATTGAATCGAGCAGATTCAGGACCTCATTTTTGGAGCGACACTGACTCTATGGCATCCTCTGGCTACAGAATATATATATATATATATTAATATAGAGACCCGAGATCCTTTTCTCGCTCCACCGATTCCTATGGCTCCAGTCTCCCCCAAAGGAGAGAATCCAAAAATCCCTAAAGCCGCTGTGGAAACTCTGGGTCTTGAAAGAAGGACCCAGGACCGCTGCTTGAAGCGATTCTCTTCGGAGGCGCCGGGCCATCAAGCCCTCCGAGTTCCGCCGCTTCTACGACCGGGGCGACCTGCCGATCCAGGCGCCGATGGGGCGCCGAGGGCGGTGCATGCAGAGACACATCCCACCAGTCTCACGGTCCCACAAGGTGCTGAGTCTCACGGTCCCACAAGTCACACAAGTGACTTTTGAAAAGCAAATGAGCAATCTCTTGTGATCTCTTGTGCTCCAGGGAGAGTGCGTGGGTTGCCATGGAAGCATCATGGGACCCATTTTATCCACCGTTCGGAGCAGAAGAGTTAAGTTAACCCTCCAAGTCAAGTGCTGGGGCGGAGGGAAGCGATTGGCATATGAACGGGGTTATGCTTTCAGGACTGGTGGACCTCTGTTTTCAAGACTAAAACATGTGTTAGCCATCTCTGACCGGATTGAGCCAATGGCGCTATCTCATCCTGCTACCAACTGCCAGGTGCAACACACTGGCACGCAGAACAAGATTGCAGGGACACCTGAGAAGTTGACGTGCAGACTCATCGCTATTAGGTTGGAGGCCATCGCTATTAATGGCGGTCAGGCTCGCTTGATCGCTCCAAGATGTTGACGGTTGCAGCTCACCCCCCTTTTTTGGGCACATGCATTTGACTCCAAATTGATTCACCGTAATATGGCAGGCCCGTCAAGATATGCTGAGCACCTCCTACTCTCCACCTGCTACTCTAGACAACGCTCAAGGTCCTGCTAGGACACAGCAACAAAGGCAGCAAGTCATCACTGACGCTCCTGGGATGCTTCCGGAGGAAATCATCACTGCCGGCTCCCTCCTTCCGTATCCCAGGCGTGGAAGGTGGACATCGAGAAGCTGGATTATCACCACTACCTGCCGATCTTTTTTGATGGGCCTGGCCCTCGAGCCCTTTCAAAGGACAAAACTGCCAGTGAAGCCAGTTCTGCGACCTTAGTACTTCACAAGTTCCTGTGGCAACGACCTCGCGGATCCTTCAGCAAGGTGGCCTTCCCCAAGCAACAAGTAAAGGAAGAAACAGAACTTCTCGACTCGTCACATCAGTGTGTGCTGCGAAGCCAGCTGTTTCAATTGATATGATTTGTGTGCATGTCTACAGAGAGGATGCTGCAACCTATTCCCCCAATTATAAGAAAGAGATCGTCGTGCTCACCATCTAGAAGCCAGTAATGGCACAGTAACGAGTCAAGTGACAGCTCACGTTCGCAGTACTGCTCTCCTTTTTAGAGACCAGAACATATAAGCCCCAACTCAGCTCACCGGCTGCTAAGGCTGCGAGAGAAGGAGGATCCGTACCGCTTTTTGGCTGTTGAGGCAAACTCAAAGATGGGCCAGAACTCTTTCAGAGAGCTCATTCCGTCGAAACAGTGGATAGGGAGGACAATAGCTGGGTCCGCCAGGATCTGAATGTGCTGTTATTCTTTTGACAGCTTGTGCTGGGTATGATGAGCACTGGACATCACAGGACCACGTTCAGTTTGGAACATGCCCAGATCTGAGCATCGTTCAGGGCAGAAGGCCAATTCTCGCAACGCTGCTCAACATCTCCGTTCAGCTACACCCGCGTTCGCAAAGGTATCCTTAGAACCATGTAACGGCTGAAAAGGAGGAACTTCACTTGACCCGAACTAACTTTTTTCGTTCCTTTAGTAGCCTTTTGCACAGCTGGCCTGGCCGATCAACAGATCTCAGTTTCTGTGTTTTGCAGGGCGTCTTCAACCTCCTAGAGCGTGGCAGTAGCAAGGCCGAGGGTGTGGCTGCCAGATGCTGTTTTGCACCGGCCGTCGACGGAACCTTTTGTGAAAAGAGCACTAGTCACTAGTGCTTAGTAGTTCAGGATCTTCCACAGCGGCATGGCTTCCCAGGTTGTTTTCAATGACGTGACAGCAAGAGTTGAAGTCTGAAACGGGGCACATTAACATGAACACTATTAACATAAACACATTGACAGCTGGGAGACCCTGTATAGGCAATATTGTAGGACCGGAAGACAGGTTGTTTCCTTTGGGATTTATTGAGCAATATCAATCTCAGGTACCGTGACAGATGACAGATGTGCTCATACCTTGTGATTTAGGGAGTGTTGGATGAGTGTCTGCCAGGAGTTGTGTGACACTGTGACATGTTTATTTGAGTGCTTGGAAATACCACGATGTCCCATGATATGTGCAGTTTGAAGTGTGCGCAGGCAAATAAACTAGTGATTGTTGAGTAAGATTCCATACCTGTACGGTAAGTTCTGAACGGTTTGGTTTTTGACATGGTTCCCTGTAAGAGAAAGGTTGCTACCTCACATCCTGATTTCCAAGCGCCAGTGGTGCTCAAGATCCGGCGCTGGTAAGCACTCATGGCCACTGGTCGCAGCTTAGAGCTTCAGAGCACTGAAGTGAGGTGACAGTGCAGCCGGAGGTGGGAAGAAGAGGGAGACAGCAAAATGTAGGAGGTCGAAAGTGACTAACTACTTCCGCAAATGGCCTCCAACCTAATTAGTAGTCATGGCCTCCACCCTAGTAGCGATGGCCTCCAACCTACTACTAAACTACGTCAGCAAGGTTGAAGTGGCTACAGGGTCCCGAAGGCTTCGTTCAACTGAGTCTACTTGGTCCTCAGCCTCCAGCGATATGATCGGATAGGAGTTGGATGCAAATGAGATAGGACTATAGGAAGTATTGTTGGCCTACATCGACAGGGTCACTGGCCGATACAGATGCAACGATACTTACTTTATCAACTACCTCTCGTCAGGTCTTCTGATGAGTCGACGTGTCTTCTTCAGCAACCTGGATTGATTGAGCATTTTGGTGTTTCATTACTACTCTTTTGTTATCTTTGTGTTCCTTGTAAGAAAGTTCACGCGCATCGCTCCTTCTTGGAGAGGTCTTGCTTGGTGGCCCTAGCTTGCAGCCCGTCCAGGTCTTGAAGTCATGAACATCAGACCTTTGGTAGCGTCCTTGCTTCTAGTAGCGATGCCAGGAGCCCCTAGTAGCTTCTTGTCCCTAGTAGCAAGAATGCTCCTAGTAGTACGGCCAGGAGCCCCTAGTGGCGTTCTTGCTCCTAATAGCGATGCTTCTTGTTCCTAGTAGTAAGGCCAGGAGCCCCTAGTAGCGTCCTTGCTCCTAGTAGCTTGGGTTGTTTCAACCAAGTTCCAATCTCATTTGCTCTGGGGGAATCAGTTCAAGTTTTGCAGCGGTTAGCCCTGCTTATATAATCCTCTTCAATCCTTTTCAGCTGGTGTGAAACATAATATTTTTCTGCCATCACCCGTCCTTCAGGTCCCCCCAAAATCCAAGGCAATGTGCCCTTCAGCACCACCGAAGACACCTTGGTCGAAGTCTTTCAGTTGGTTGGGGAGGTTGCAGAGCTAGAGCTGCGTCCTGGCCAGACTTGTATATCGTTCCTTTTTTTTGCAATGTCTTAAATGATGGACTTCGTATTCAAAGTATGTTTCCATGGTTCAGCTCAAAGCTTTGATTTTTGTGCAGCCGTATGTGCCGGGGATTGGCAACATTCTTGAACTGTTCTCCTATGTTCAGATGCTTTCGTGAGCACCGAAGGTTCCAGACCGCCCAGGGCTTTCGCGGCATGGGCGTGTGCATCTACAAGGACCCCAAGGATGCGCAGGAAGCCATCTCTCGGCTGCGAGATATGGACGTCGATGGCCGATCCCTGTGGGTCGCAGAGGAGAGGGTAATCAGAGGGTGAGCGAACACATTTTTTCAACAAGGCTGCAAACTGACACCAAGTCACAAAGAATGACAACTAACTCGGCCACATTGCCAAGGTTCCAATCACAATTGGACACCCCACGGCACCCTTCGATGCCCCATGCCCAGCAGGACACTGGTAAGAAGCTTCACTCCAGCGCAGACCGTGCTGCACACGAACCGCCGCCGCCTGCGCGAGCTGCGCGGGGGGTGAAAACTGCTGAGCTGCCAACGGAGGTCTTCTTCAGCAATGTGCCGTATAGCCACCAAGCTTTCGAAAAAAGGGAGTAAAGAATATTTGTTTTGAAATCAGTGTTTTGTCCGCATGCGGTGGGCATGCGGGATTAAGTGGCCCAAAGTCTCTGGGCCCAGTGGCGAGGAAGGCTAGTTTCCAACGAAACGGTGTGTGGCAAACTTCATCAACTAACTAACCAACTGGAGCGATCAGTGATCAGCTAAACGTAGAGAGGATCATCCTCTCGTCCGATGACAGTGGGTGAAACCGATGAAGATCACCCACCCACTCACCCATCCTGCAACACGTAGTCTTTGAAATGCAGTTTGCGGCTTATCCCCTGTCACATGAAGAACGATAAGCCAATGTGGTCTCATAAGAACTACTGACCAGTGCAGTTGGATTCATTTCTGGGGGTGGTGGTGATGGTGGGGACTCGTGGGAGGCCTTTGGACAACTATTGAGGGAACTTTGAAAAACCCGACAAACAAATACCAAAATGTGCTCAAAACCAGCAAAACGAATGGACCGAAAGGGGCACCTTTTTGACCAGCAAATGCTGTAAGGGTTGCACGATTTTTTTGCTGCCAGATTTCTCTATCAACCGTGGGGCGGCAATGATTCTGCTAGGATGTTTTTTTGCAGGTTGTCTCATGTCGCATCGTTTCGCCGAACACCATAAAGTTCTCGACACATGGTTACAAAAACATGGATCGTTTCCGAAGCATTCCAACCAGTTCCCGAAAAACTAGTGTCGGAACCATATAATATAGAACCATGGTATCCAAAACGGTTTTTGACTTCCAACAAGTGTGGGTATGTTTGAGGGAGTTTGGGGACCGGTTTCGGACAGACGAGGCACTTCTGAAGAGACCTTGCGGGAACTCTTCAACAGCTGCGGGGAGGTCTCCTCCCTCCAACTCTTTCGCCAGAAGACCGGCGAGTCGAGGGGGATGGGCGTGGTCTCCTTCCTGGACCCGGACTCGGTGACTCGGTGCAGGATGGCCCCCCGAAGGTCGCGATCTCGGACGCTACGAACGGGGCGCTCCTGGCATTACTGTAGGAAGTAGGAACAAGAAGCTACTAGAAACAAAAGGCAATCACTACGAACGGAGCAAGAGGAACACAGTATATATTTAGCTTGCCTTTAGCCTGCGGGTTCAATGAGGACACGGGTGGGACTTGGGCCCTTGAGTTGAGTCTTTACGGTTGAGCAACAGACCATTGGTGTACCACCTGTTGCACGGAGAGGTGGCATGATAAACTCGAGCTCCCTGAAGCGGCCCTCAGGAAACCTTGGGGACAGCACTTTTCAATTCATCCTATTTTCAGAGGGGCTGACTCGCTTGATACAGGAGCGCCAACGAAGGACTTGTTCAATTCATGAGACTCCCGATGATTTCAACTTGATCCCATTCGCTGAGGTGCAACGTGCCGTCCAAACGTTGAGAGACCATGAGGTGGGTGACCGCAAAATGTGGGTCTCCACGCACGCTCGTGTTGTTGCGGATCGTGGGGCTGTCCAGCCAGTGAGCAGTGCAAAGGTCTTCTTCAGTAATGTACCCTTCGATGTGGGAGAGGATCAGCTGAGAGCTCTGTTTGAAGAGGTCGGAATCGTCCAAGAATTAACGATTTTCTTGAAGCCCGATGGTCAGTCCAGAGGCATGGGACACTGTACCTTCCAGAACCCCGTCATGGCCGCGAATGCCATCCGCGGGCTGCGGGACCGTGACGTGGGGGGGCGCCCCATTTGGATTGCGGAGGATGTGAAGAGTCCAGGGCCACAAGCCACAGCGCCACAGGCACTGCCCGTGCAACACTTCGCCCCAGTGCAAATGGTCCCGGTGGCTCCAATGGGACGGATCCCGCGCTTTGAAACTGTAGCGATGGCTCCGTTGGCCCCCTCGGTCCCCACCTCCGCGCGGATCTTTTTTAGCAACGTGCCCTTCGATGTCTTCGAGAAGCAGCTGGAACAGCTCTTCCGGAGCATTGGGCCTATCACAGAGTTACATCTCATGAAGTCAGCCGATGGACGGTCCCGTGGGATGGGCCATGTCACCTATCCAACGCCCGAGTTGGCGGCTTTGGCGATCCATCACCTCATGGACCGCGACGTGGGAGGTCGCCCTATCCTCGTGAAGGAGGACCGTTCCACCATGCAGACAGCGCCCATGAGCGCACCTCTGCCGATGCGGGCAGCGATGCCACGTGCACCGAAAGGCCCACCCTCAAATGAGATGTTGGCAACATCCAGCAAGATCTTCTTCAGCAATGTACCCTACACTGTGGGCGAGGAAGAGCTTCTGAGCTTGTTCCGGCAGGTGGGCGGCGTGCTGGAGTTGAACCTCTTCCGGACGGATGAGGGACGCTCGAGGCGCAAGGGAGCTTGTCGGTGTTAGGTTTCAGCACATCATTTCAATGCTTATTTAATTAGTATATGTCAGAAACCTCCTCGTCCTCCCACAAAGAAACAGAACAGACTTATGATGACTTCTGAACCTTGATAAACAAGAGTGCCAGCCCCAATCCCAGTCCAGAGCTTTGGTCTCCCTGTCAGGGGTATGGGTCATTGCTTATTTCAGACGCCTCAAGAGGCACAGACCGCGATCCAAGAGCTCCGGGATGTGAACGTGGGTGGTCGCCCCATCTGGGTCTCGGAGGACAGCCGCGGAAAGGCACCGAACTCGGCGGGAAGGACCTCGCGCCCGCGGCCGTATTAGCCGCCCGAAAAACAGGGCGCGGAGCAAGCAGTGGGTGCCAGTGTGCCTTTAACCAAGGCTTTTGAAGGGGTTTTAAGTCTATGGGGACGGCCGTTCATGAGGCATGGCCCAATGGCGGAACTCTTTTAAGTTTCCCAAACCTCGATCCGTGATCGTATGATTTTGGTCGTGCTCGAAATGTTCTTTTCCAGTGGCACAGCCTCCTCCAACAACGTGGGCAAGAAGGTACAGGTCCAGGGCGCAATGTCAGCTCACCTGGTTTCAACTTTCAACACTAGAGTCACTAGAGGGCACATGGACACCGAGGATATGGTAAGGTGGAATTGGCCAAGGGCCAAGTGGAATCCAATCACATTCAATTGCCCTCCGCGACCAGGTTTCACACCCCTCAAGCTACAGTCATAGTCAAGGTGTCAATCTTTGACTGCTGTCGTTGGCCGATTTCAGCATTTGTGAACAGAGATGCCAGAATACTAGGTAGTTTTCCAACACCTCTACTTGAGACAGTTGTGGCTGCTCTTGGGCTGAGCCCAGAGATGACAGGTATGACAGGTATGTCATCAGGTGTCACAAAGTGTTGAATGATTTCACTGGAAAGCTCCGTCAGTGTCACAAAGTGTTACATGCTTCGAAACGCCCGTTGGCCTTGTTTCTTTATTCTTCGGACATCGCTGTATCCTTCGAATGGCACCGTGTAACTCGGACCGCCCATGTCGGCCAGATCCTGCCGGTGGTACCGCAGCTGATTATGCCCATCAAGCCCGGGGTCCTGAGGGGTGTTGGATCCCATGGGTGATCCCATGGGCTGGATTGGTAGAGCTGCAACAAACTCCAGAGATTATGCTAAATCAGTGTTTCTTGGAACACGTTTTTGGGAAAAGAGTCTCTTTTCGAACTCCTCTGCAGTCTTACAGCAAATTTTGCTGTGCTCTCTGCTGAATCCGTTGGATGATGCTGCATGAGCACATGCCATAGCGTGCCATGACATAGCCCGAACGAGACCGAGGACTGCGCTGAACACCAGAGACGCGGAGGTCATCAATACCACGCTGAAGGTCTTACAGGTGGATCAACTGGGAGAAGCCGGACACACGCTCAAAAGACCAGCAACGCCCCACGAACTCATCGTTTCTGTGATCGGGTGTGATGCTATCAAATGCTATCAACATGAGTCCAGTACGCCACACGACAAGGTGACAAGGATTCAGACATTTGTTTCGGGGAAACCGGCATATTGGATCATTTGGGCAGTTGGATTGACCCTGACGTCTTTTGTGGTGACCAATTCAGTCCTTTTGTTTTGTTTGTCAGGAGTTCAAGGAGTTATGAAGTCAGGGTGGCGGCAAGGGTGTCAAGGTCGCATTGTGCAAATACTTGTGAAGCACGGTGCCCAGGTAAGGATAATTGGATAATGTTGTGAACATAATGTCAAACATGATATCCAAAGTCAAGGAGAATGTCCACAATGTTCCTCCAGCAACACACCACATTTTCTTGACTCTTAAGCCTCCGCTGAACTTTCCTGACTTTGGCAGGCGCTAGTTCTTTCAGGGGAGATGATCGGTGAGGCCCTAGTGCCGTGCGCCATTTGCAGCTTGCGCCATCTGCAGCTTTCGTTATCTTGGGTGGCAAAAAGTTACAGGGTGATGGTCTCGAAATCCTCATTGAGGAATCGTAGAAGAGGACGCAAGATCATGCTTGCAGGTCTGTAAGTAGCAGATTCCGAGTACCTTGGCTCAAAGTGTGAAGTCAGATATGCAATCGGCGAAACCAGTGACAACCAAGTCAAGCAGCAACATCTTTGGACATCTACGGGCCTCTCTAGAAAGCCATGTCAAAGCTGAAAAGGCGAGTACCTCGGCAAAGCATACAAACGTGACAACACTAGCAAAACCGAACAAGGGATGATCCTCTTGACCAGCAAAATCCTCCAAGTTGATGTCCTTTTTGTATCTTACTGTATCTCCTGACCGGACCTCGCCATGGGTGATGAAGACTTGGACGAATATCCAAGTGCAGTAAAGCTGATCAGTAGTCCGGCATCACCGCACTTGGCTGAGTTCTCCCAGGAGGCGGCCACTGCTTCGCTCGTTGCCTTTGATGTCCAGTGGAACCCAGACTTCGAGGAAGGGAGTGACAACCCGGTGGCACTTTTACAGCTGGCTTTTCCCACATCTGGTAGTACCTATGTACTGCAGCTGCCGTTGATGGGTGCTGTTCCGGAGTCAGCTCAAAAGCTCTTTGAGAGCTCGAAGGTGCTGACGGTTGGATTTGCAACCTCCTTCGATAAGCATAAGCTTGAGATCTCCGGAGTGAAGGTTGACAAGAGTACTTTGATTGATGTTCAACCCTGGTGCGAAGCAGAGATGGGCGAAAACTCCAGCGTGCGTCAGGGATGGCGTGTGGGCTTGAAGAGGGCAGCGCGTTGCGTACTGGATTTTGAGTTGGAGAAGACCTGTACCATGGCGTCTTCCAACTGGGAGCGACAAGAACTGACGACAGCACAGGTCGAATACGCTGCGATGGATGTTTGGGTGGCTTTAAGACTGTACCAGCAATTAGCACCAGTCTATGGTGCAGCTGTTGGGAAGCGTCAGAAGACAATGCACCCAGACGGAGAAAATAGCTCTTTTGCATGATGGGCTTCCGAGCTCGCTCAAGACACAATTGGGCCACCATTGTCCCGAGTATGCTTTGATACAATACATTCTGTTCCCTGCTTGTAGGACGCATGTACGATATGTAGTACTGAAGCAGTTTAGAGCTTCCAGTTTATGGACAGCTTGCTGAACATCTCCGCAGGTACTACCGTCAGATCCTGCCCATTTTTAGCATTTTCAAGCAGTGCTGCTGGAGCCCGAGTGCGTGTGCCGACTTGCTGATCCACTACGTTTGTGATGTTTACGATATTTTTTTAAATGTATGTCTACAAGATCATACATACTGTGACTCGAAGCCAGCAACAGGCCGGCTTTGCGGCCTTTTGGAAATACATGATATCATGATATTTCAGTCAACTAGAGCAGCAAGCATTCATAGTTTTTTTTAGTACGCAAAAAAAGTATGATGGAAGACCACTCTTGAAGCCGTGTAAAGCTGTACAGATTTCCGGGCCCAAGCTGTTACGCGTTCTCCATTTGGTCCGCCCAAAGGCCCCAGCACCTTCGATCAGATCGACTATGCCCAGCGGAAGCGTCACTTGGCAGAGATGTGTGCGCTTTGGGTGTGTTCCTGTCTTTGCACCATTTCCAGTAACATAACATATTCTGGTGGAGCAAGAGTATCCGGCTGCTCAACACCGGCTGCTTTAGAGTGACAGTGCCCATGCGGCTAGTGGCCATGCGGCCATGCCTTCAACACAAGAAAGGCTTTGAGGTTTTGAGCGTTTTGAAGTGGGCTTCAGGTGTTCCAATTGAGCCCAGCCTGCCAGACATGTGTTTCGTTTAAGGGAACAACATTGGCGAGCTGATAGATGAGACCCTCGAGATTTTTGAGATCCATGGCGGAGAGGCCTTTTATGTCAAATTTCTTGTGCAAAATCAGAATCACGGATGTATCGTTATGTATATATATATATATGATTATAGTCAGCCACAAAACTCAACAGCATTACAAACGTATGCCAATCTTCTCGTGCAGGACGAACCCGGACACCCCTAGGGGCAGTTTCTTGCTGTGCTGTTGGGGTGCTCCAATGGTTGCAATGAAACAGTTGCAATGAGCTGGGCCGGTTTGACGGTTTGACAGTCTCCCAAGTTCCAGAGCACATCACGTCCCATGAAAGCAGACTGGCTTGCCAAGGCCCGCAGCAGGGAACCCAACAACCACTTGGCTCATCCTATCGCCAAAGGAGCCATGCAGAGCCTCCCAGCGCCCTGCAGGATGCTTTCATCAACATCAAGTACATGATCCCCACCTACGAGCTCGGCGACCCCAGCGACCCCATGTTGTGGTTGCGATCCGGAACAAGATGGAAGAGGTGAAGTGATCGAAGGACTCGGCTTCCTTAAGCTTCTTTCCTTTCAGATCCTTTCAGCATGGTTTGGACTTTAGAAGGCAGAACACAAAACCTTCAACCTGGCTGCATAGCAGGTTCGAAGTGGTTGAGGTTGGAGAGGTTGGTCCTCCCGCCCCGGACCTTTGGATCCCAGTGCCGAGGTCCTGCATGCTCGGATGAGCGCCGTGCATGCTGGATGACCGTGTATAGCCAGAGCGCGGGATGCACCTGACCATGTAACCATGGCATCAGGCTGCGGAGTCGTGAACTTCCCTGCGAGCTAATCCAGCCAAAACACCACCTGAGGCTTCTGCATGTCAACTGGTGATGCTCAAGACATTGAAGACTTTCAGATCCGTTGGACAGATTGACTTGAAGGATATTAGAGGGATTCCCATTATATCCGCTGAGCTTGGGGCTTCAAGGCATTTTGGGGCCTGTCAGGGTTGTTCTTTTTGTGCTTTGAAACTTAGGTAGAATTAATACGAAAGAGCGGCCCAAATAAGAGCAGTCAGTTGTTGGAGACCATCGCTATTAGGTTGGAGGCCATTGCTATTAGTGCTAATAGTTGCAAATGCTTTGATGTTTTGATATTTTAGTTTTAAAGTAGTTAGTAGTTGGAGGATCCGAGATGGCGCTTGCAACGCCAGGGAACTTCATGGAAGTCCGTCAAGTCGCGCTTTTTTGCGCTTGGCTTTGGCTCAACTCGTTGCTGTGAGCACAATGATGACATGTATATGCAATCAGTCCTTGGGTAGTGCTTTCGTTTGTTGCATCACAGTATGTTTGTGCCGCAGGCTGAGCCACTGCAGCCGCTGTGTCACACGAATTTCTTCGGAGGGGTTGGGAGAACCAAGATGGGTGCTCATTGAACGAATCCAATCCCAACACTTGTTTGCAAATATTTTGCAGTTCTGTTTCTTCACAATGACTACAAGGGTCAGCTTGGTGACGACCTGACCTGGTCGATAAGTCTCATATGGAAGTGAGGCTTTGTGACACGTAATTTCACGGCTATTGGGGGAATACTCTTCAGATGGTCCAAGTTTCTTTCACATCCTTTAACCACCACATCCTCTTTTTTCAGGTGGTCATGTCCAACATCCTTAAACTTGCGAGAGTCTTGCGTGGGACCCGATAACTGCCATGACCCCCGAGGTGCCACATGTCGCATGTCGGCGCAAAAACCGTACTGCGAACGGTGGGGATTGGTCGACTTCTGGTTGCGAAAGATCAAGTCTGTTGCAATTCATTCTTCATGAGGTTCAATTGCCTTTTGATTTCACTGCGATTGATTACAATAGGATTTCACGAACTTTGAAGTGGCCAAGATCCAATTGTCGCGCGTGCCTGGCGCATGCTGCCGGGGGCTGCGGACCGGGTCGAAGATCGATCCGGGTCGCAGAAAGTCACGGAGCATCAGCGCGTTGAGGGCGGCATTTGACCAATGGAGGTTTTTCACCTTCAGAATCGACTATGGTCAGAATCCATATCATTATATTTGTTTTCAGAATGGTTCAAAATATTTGGGTATTGAATCTGACGGATTTGGACATGGGATGGGATCATAACCCAAACGGGCAAAGATCAAACAAATCAATATATTCAAAGAAAATATTCAAATAATATAAATTAATACAATATATTCAATATTAATATCTATATTGAACATATATTTACCAACAGGATTATTCTAAATTATATAAATTTTTATATTTTGATGTATTTATTTTAATAAATATATATTTATAGAATTATTTCTTATTTAACATTATATTTTGAAATTAATTAATATTAAATATACATAATATAAAATATATTAAAATATATATATTGTTTAAATCGCCAATTTTTATGTAAGATGGATTTTTATTTTGTTATATTGTATAAAAGGTTATATATAATTATATATAATTAAATCGATATATTCGTAGATAATTATAATAATTATTGTTTATTTATTTAGTATTTTTTTTACCACGGGATTTTTTTTTTCGGGATTTTTGATTGTATATTATTTTTTTTTTCCTATTTTAAAGGTTGTGGTTAATTTTCTTATTCTAAAGGTTGTGATGGTTGGTTATTCTTAATGGATATCTTTGAATCCTTGGTTTTTTATATTGGTTATTTTTTTATATTGGTTATTAATTATAGGATTAATTAATTTACGATTTTTTTTTATGTCGGAATTCGAGGTGGACGATTGGGAATTGATATTTGATGAGCCTTTCGTTAGAGAACCACTGTTATTAACGCGGCTTTTATTGACCCTATAGATGAAATTAACACTGACTCTATAGACCAATGGAGGAAGCTTCGCTAGGTGCAAATCCCTCCGCTGGAAAGGATTAAGAGGAATTCGTATCGCCCTAACTATTAGCAACCTTTATGATCCACTTGGTAACGACGACGAATCTTATCTTGAGGATTAT